AAAAAAAAAAAAAAAAAAAAAATCACAGGTGTCCCTGTGTATTTCACAGAGCAGTTGTGAAAATTACATTGATAATGTGTTTCCCTTAGGGCCATTTGACAGGGGAAATGTGTTTGTGTTTCACCTGTCATTTACCTCCATTAGGAGATAATCATTGTTAGTCCCTTTTTTCTTTCATTTAAAAAATAATAGCTTTCAGCCTCTATGCTCTTATTCTCTTACCGCCTCTGTCCATTTTAATCTGCCAGTTTCTTTGATGAAAATAAATTTTTTTTTTTTTTTTTTTTTTTTTTTTTTTTTTTTTTTTGTACTGGGGATGGAACTCAGGACCTTGCACTTGCCAGGCAAGTGGCAGAACCACTGAACTAAATCCCCGGCCTTGATGAAATTTTAAAAATCAGCGCAGGATCCACTTGGGTCTGGGAGCAGGCCTGTGTGCACTGCATGCTGGGAGACAGGAAGGGCCTTCACCTCAGGAAGTCCTGAGTGAGGTTGGGGAGGGTGGGGAGGGTGGCTGCTGCCCTCAGGAGAAAAGGTTTCATGTCCACGTAGCTTCCTCTTGTCCTAAATTTCCACGTTTGCTGAGACTCCACAACATCTCATGGAAAAGTTCTCCTTTGTGTGGGTCAAATTTGATTCCTCTCTTCTTGAGTAAAGATGAGATGTAGTTGTGGTATAGCTTTTTATAGACCCCAGGAAATTATCAGGATCTGTATATTTTTTAAATATTTTTGTATTCTAGGGAATGTAATGCTCTTGTATATTCTATTTGTAACTTCGCCTAAAGGAATGTACGATGGATTCACCTGGAGTCCGTAATGTTAAGTGAGATAAATTGGCACACAGGTTTCAGTATCACACGGTTTCTCTTATGTGAGAAACCTGACTTATAAATAAGAACAAAATAACAGATTGGTTATAGGAAGTCAGGAGACAGATCTTTCTCTAATGGGGAGGGGACTGAGAGTTGGAGGGAGGCGGGAGGAAGGAAAGGGGCTGAGAAAGGGAGTCATATGTGCTGTGTCCGGGTACCAGTCCACTCAAGGGGTGTAAACATTCCGTACTGCACACGTGCACTAATAGAAATACAATAAACTAACTTCGACAAAGCAGATGAGTAAGAACTTCAGTTGTCCTAATTCAGGTACATTGAATTCCTTGTTCCCTGGCTGAAGGTGTCCAGCCAGTGAGTACGTCTGCCCTTTTTACCGTGTGTACTGACATTCCCTTCCCTCTGCAGCATGAACGCCCAGGTGTGTGACAGCCCTTTCCGTTGCACACAGGAGGAAGCGAGATCCGTGGTTGACTCGGTAAGGAGCAAACGCGAGAAGCCCGCAGAGACCCTGACGTTCCAAGCAGTGAAATGTGTCGAGCCCTGTTAGAAAGCGTAATATGGAAAGCTAATATTGGCATTTTTTTTTTAATTTGGGGGATTTAACTTTTAAACTTGAAAGAGCCTGAATTTTAAAATTCTATATTTAGAAGTACTTTAACCATTTTTTTAAATTTCATATGATGCTGTTTTTCTTATATGATCAACTTGTTATTGATAATACCTGTACTGGCTGGTCTGTTCCCTGAGTTACCTGTCACCCAGGGTCTAAATTGGGACTGGTGCTTGGCACACATGCAGTTTGGCTCAAGAAAGACGAAATTGGGAAGGTTCTTTTCTATTTTGTTTCTTTTTGGTTGAGCTGTCTCACAAGCTTCCCTTCCTCCAGTGAAGAAGAAATCCTAAAATTAGATTTTCACATCGCTTGGTGGGAATGCTGCGGAGAGGCAACTAAATCTATCAGTGAATCAGTACTTAATTTAGTGACCACTGGGAAAATTGATATCCAGATAATTAAGTAACATTGCTATATAAAATAAAGAGGGATCCTAGGCTTGAAGTCCCACCTATACATTATGGGTTTAGAAATACTAATTTTGAGCTAGAAACTCATGGATTTAGGTCTTTAGGAATGGCTGAAGTGTTCCTGAGTATCAGCCGCTCCTGGCTGCTTTCTGTGCATTGGGTTTATTTCTCCGCTGGTTCATCAGCCAGTGCCGAGGGGCTGCTCTACGGCAAGACGTTGGTGCTGGGAAGGACTCTGTGTAGAAGGACGCAGAGACCCCGCCCTCGTCGGCTGTCATTTCATGGAGAGCTGGATGATGAGCGCCCCCGGGGTCCTGGTAGAGAGCGGGACGTGGAGAAGGGGCAGGAAGAAGAGTAGAGGTCTGGGCCCAGGATGGCCTCGGAGCCGCTGTTCCTAGAAGGCGCCACGGCCTGGCTTCCTGGGAAGAGGCTGCCACCGGGTCCGGATTTGTGGAAGGAAGGGAGTGGGCGGGGTGAAGGCGGAGGAGGAGCATTCCCGGCCCAGGGCCAGGAGCCCAAGGGTGTCTGTCGGCTCATTACACTCCCTGGAAGCCTGCCGCGGATTGCAGGGGCAGTCGCTCTGATAGCAGCACAGTTCGCGATAGCTAAATCTCAGAAGCAGCCTGCGTGTCCATCAGCAGGTGAGTGGGGAAAGAAAGTGTGGTGTTTGTGCCCCCTGGAGTACTACTGTCCCGTAAAGAAGGATAAACTTGCATCACTTGTAGGAAAATGGATGCAGCTTGAGACCATAATATTAAGTGAAATCAGACATGGCAGCTTAGTACCACATGGTTGATTTTACATGAGAACCCAGCCTATACATAACCCAATAAAACAGGTAATAGGAAATAGGGAGACGTCTTTCTCAAGTGGAAGGGGGTCCAGAATGGAGGGGGAGAAGGAAAAGGGGATGAGAAGGGTTGAGATGTGCTGTGTACAGGCACCAGTGCCACGCAGGGTGTAAGCTTTGTGTGCTGGAAACACGGAGCGCGGTAAGAGAGAGAAGGAGGGAAGAGTGAGCTTAGGGAGGCAAGGGAAGATGCCGCTGCAGTGCAGGCCACGGTCTCCATTTATTTCCTCCAGGTTACCCATGCTGAATCTCTGTAGATTATTTTCTTATTTGGTGTTCCTCAAAATTTATTATTCTTTAAGGAAAAAAGTAGAGGTAAAAAATATTTTTCATCCTTGTCTAAGCAGTCAGTCTCATTAATCTTAGATTAAAATTACTCTATTGATTTTTTAAAAATGTTATTGGTACAATTAGGTATGCGCTATAATGACTTCATCATTGGAAATTTGTACCTTTACATGATACATCTTGATATACTAATGATAAGTACAATAGGTTGTTATCTTAAAATTATTTGGAAGATTGAAGTTTTAATGTTTTATCTTATTTTAATTGCCTCCTCTCAGATTAGTAGGAGAGCAGTTATCCTGGGGAGGAGTAAGGGACTGGGTCCTGCCCAGGTCGATGAGGGAGCTGAGGGCAGTTCAGAAACATCACTACCGCTCCTCTTACACAGCTGTCACTGTAAAGAAGGTGCTGTCCTGTGTGACTTTAGGCTGAGAATGTTGTCGCAGAAATTCAGTTTAGAGAATGCAGCCCCTCATCCCTCGCTCAGTGAAACCCAGCATGTGCCAGCTTTCATTATTAGGTGTCTGGGAGTGAGAATCACCCCGTGAGCGGGAGACAGACAGGCTGAACTTGTGAGCGGCCCTGAGAGCTGTTGCAGGCGCATCAGGGATAAATAGGTGGGGAGCAGAGCACAAGGAAGGGCAGCGCTGACCCCAAGAGCCAGTGGGTAGCTGCCTGTGGTGTGTGAGGAGCGGCTATGGACAATATTGTCACTAGCTAAGAAAGGGAAAGGCTGGCGGTGTGATGCGTATCATTAGACAGCATTTTAGAGACAGTATAGAAAATATCTGCTAAGTATTTTACCATACTTTGGTCCAGTCTTAAGGTAGTAGATGCAGGGACAATTTTAGAAGAATTGAAATGTTGCAAAGGATTACTGGGTTTTGTTTATGAATCCACAGATGTTTGAATTGTGTGCAGCTATGAAAGTTGGGACTGCATCAGAACAAGCTTTGTCGTTTAGACCCCAGCACAGTGCGGATCAGTAAGACAGAGTCCCCTGACTGTCTGTGGCCCTGGCACCTGGGTGGCCACCAGTGGCTCAGCCACACCCCGTGACTTCCTTGAAATGTTTTTGTTCACTGTGAATTTGTTTTAAACCTCTACTTACTTTATAACCAGAAAACACGAGACCTATCTTCAGTACTTGAGAACCGTACAACCAGTAGTGGGAGATTTATTCCAGGGGGCGAGGCTTAGAGCAGAAGTAGGGAGCAGTGTGTGTGGAACGCACACACGGTTGCCTTTCATTCGAATGTACTTATTCGTTAAGTGCAGTATGTTTGACTTGCCTGCTGAAGGAAGATGCCACTTGTTTTGGACCCTTTGCTGCATGCAGTAAAATGTCATTTTGAAAATATGTTGACAAGATTGAAATGAAATTTCCAAGTTTAATCTCATAGTCATATATAATTAGAGAATACAGTGTCTGTCACTGTGGACATTCCCAAAAACTGAGTATGTATTAGGACCCAAATAGTGTTGAAAAAAATCCCAGAGAGCAGTCATGCAGAGCACATTCTCTATCTCTGATAAATTTATTCATCAGTCATGAAAATATTTTTAAAAAGAAGCACAAACACAAAGATTTGGAAATTTTAAAACACTTAACAATAAATTACACCTCAAAAAACAAACTATAACAAACTCGAAAATATTTAAAACTCGGTGTCACAACTTGCACCATACAGCAAGAATGATGCCTGGAAGAAAAAAATAATAAATATACATGTTAGAAATGAAGAGAGAAAGTGAAACATTAAACTCTGCATTCCCCACCATCACCTTTCCACAGGAGCAGAGAGAAAATCAGAAAGAGTGGGGCGGATGTTCGATTTAATGGAAAGTGATGAGTAGCAGAGAGCGACTAAAACAAAAGCTGCCTATTTTCAAAGTAATGAAACAGACAAACCTGTGGCAAGAAGGGTGATGAAACCGGACCAAATAGAAATCCCGAGAGCCGAGACCAGGCGCAGACTCAGCTCTTCACTGCCAGAGAAGTGTCAGAGTCCTGTGAGGCGCTTCTGACGGCACCTTTCTAAGCCTGAATGATGTTTTGCTTACAGTACGGATTACCAGTACTAAACTGTGGATGGAGAAGCCAGACAGACTTAGAAGTTTAAGAAAATACTTAACCCTGAAGCTGGTAATTTCTCCGGTGTGTTAATGAAGTCAACTATTTTTTTTTCATGAAAATTCCAGTAGTTTTCACGGAACTTGGGAGGGTGATTCTAAAATACATACAGAATGATAAAAGACTAAACATAAACTTACAGGGATTAGTACATTTATGATGGAAAGATATAAACCAAAGATACCATAAAATCAAATATAAAATAAATCATAAACCATTGATTTCCAGAGGATATTTGCATCTAAAATAACAGACAACTCATTCAGTTAATAAGAGGAAGATAACCTGTTAGAGGGAAATGAGCAAACCGTATGAAGAAGACGGACGCGGTCAACTACTTTCAAGGCTCAGGAAGAGGAGACCCTCAGAACTGGTGTTGATGACCCGCTGGCCGGGAGGGTAAACCGCTGTCACTACGCTGAAGCGTGTTAAATGAATTGTAGCGACGTGGGGAGTGATGGCTACGCAGTGCTCACAGCTCCACACCTTCTAGGGACACTAACACACGTGCTGGAACAGCTGGACCAGAAAATTGCAAACCAAGTGAGGTCTCACAGAGAGAGGATGAAACAACCAGAGAGGGTGAATGAGGTGTACTTGCTGTCCAGTTGAAGAGTTGGGAAATCACTGGCTATACGAAACCATTGACTACAAGGCTGACATTTTTCATGAATCCATTCTTGTTTTCAAACTTAAATACCATTGACTTTTCATGCGAAAGATGTCTTTGAGAAACCAGCTGCGGGGCTGGGGATTTAGCTCCGTGGTTCTGGCACCTGCCTCACAAGTGCAAGGTCCTGAGTTCGATCTCCGGTGCCTCCCCAAAAGAGCAACCTTCTGTGTCCAAGTCACGGTGCCAGACAAACACACAGACAGAAACCCTCAGACTTTGTCATTATCTGTGAGTGCTGGGTCTGTCCGTGATGATTCTGTTTTGTTTTGTCAACAAGGCTTTACATGTCTCAATACATTCTTCCAATCAAGCAATAATATATTAGAATGAAGAGAAAGCTTTCTGGAAATTATGTTTAAGAATAAGATGTGATGATAAATGTTTTAGATGGGACCCACTTCATTTCTATAGTGCTTTTAGGTTAATGAGAAGTTGCTCAGTTGCTCTGTTTTGGTATTTCTATTATTTCTATTTTTGTACACCATCCATTTTTTTTTCCTCATTGAGTTTATTGGTACATTTTAGGTATACAGTACAGTTACATTCATTATTGGGATCTTATACCTTTACATGACAGGTCTTGGTTCTCATTTTTCCCCTTGTCCCTGCCCTCCCTTCATCCCCTCCACCCCTCCCCCTTTACAAACACTTCATTTCCATTTTTTCATTTTCTCATATTTTTTTTCTTTTCCATTATTAGCTTTCCCCTACCCTTCCCACTTTCCCTACACCTTTAGCCCTTTTCTTCCTATTTCACATTGTCAATTATATCATTAGGATCTTAGTACTATTATAGTTTTTCACACCAGAGAAACTATTCGGTATTTACACATGTGACTTATTTATTTCACTTAGGAGTATAGCCTCAATATGTATCCATTTTCCTATGAATGAATCTAATTTCTCATTCTTTATGGCTGAGTAATATTCCATTTTATAGAAAAACCCCATCTTTATCCAGTTTCCAACTGCTGGGCAAATGGGCTGTTTCCAAGTTTAGCTATTACAAACTGTGCCGCTATAAACATAGATGCACATATATCTCTATGATATGATTCTTTAAATTCTTTTGGAAAGATACCCAGCAGAGGGATGGCTGGGTCAAATGGAACCTCCAGTCCAAGCTCTTTGAGGTATCTCCATATTGACTTCCATAGTGGTTGCACCAGTCTGCACTCCCACCAACGATGGAGAAGCCACAATGTCACCAACATTTGTTATTGTTTGATTTCTTGATAGCAGCCATTCTTTGTGGGGTGAGGTGGAATCTCAGTGTTGTTTTCATCTGTATCTCTTGAATGACCAGTAATGTGGAACATTTTTTCATATATTTACTTGCTGTTTTTACTTCTTTGAGAAATGTCTGTTCATTTCAGATGCCCATTTTTGAATCGGGTCTTTATATTTGGGGAGCCTGATTGTTTTGAGTTCTTTAGATAATAGTCCTTTGTCTGAGGAGCAGCTGGTAAAAAGTTTTTCCCACATTGTAGGTTGTCTCAGTTCTGTTGATGGTTTCTTTTGCAGTGCAGAAGCTTTTTAATAAGATGAGATCCCAGTTGTTGATTCTTTCTGCTAGTTCCCGTGCTGAGGATTTGTTCATAAAATCTTTTCCTATGCCAATGTCTTCCAGAGTTCTGCCGAACTCATCTTCCAGCAAGTTTAGTGTTTCTGTTTTAATATTTAGATGTTTAAACCACTTGGATTTTAATTTAGTGCATGGTGAAAGATAAGGGTCCAATTTTAATCTTTTGCAGGTTGAGATCCAGTTTTTCCAACACCATTTATTAAAGAGGCTATCTTTCCTCCACTAAGGATGGTCAGCTCCTTTGTCAAAGATGATGTAGCTGAGTACATCTGGAGTTGTTTTTGTGTCTTCCAATCTGTTCCACTGATCCTCAGGCCTGTTTCTTCACCAGTACCATGCTATTTTTATCACAGTGGCTTTGTAGTATAGTTTCAAATTGGGAATTGTTATACCCGCTGTCATGTGTCTGTTGCCTAGGATGGCTTTTGCTATTCTAGGTCTCTTATGGTTCCAAATGAATTTTTGCATTCTTCTTTATAGTTCTGTGAAGTATCGTGTTGGAATTTCAATTGGCGTTGCATTGAATCTGTATAGCATTTTCACTCTGTTGATTCTTCCTACCCAGGAGCACAGGACATCTTTCCATTTTCTTATATCCTCCTCGATCTCTTTTTTCACAGTGCTGTAGTTTTCAGTGTAGAGGTCTTTTGCTTCTTTTGTTCGGTTGATTCCCAGATACTTCTTTTTATTGGATGCTACTGTGAAAGGAATTGTTTCTCTAATTTCTCTCTCGGTGATACCATCCATTTTCTTTCCCCAAAATGTTTGGTAGCTCCAGTCTGAAGCAGCTGCTAATTTTAAACAGGAAATTTAACCAGCTAATTTTCCAGCAAACTTTGTGTAAGGAGCGCCCTGTCCAACAGGAAGAGGGACTGGCAATGCCAAGAGTGGCCGGAGCCGTCCCATCCAGTGCCTCAGCCCAGGACAGTCTGATGCCACAGCTCTGTCACACGTAGACCCCGAGTTCTGGCAGCCTCAGAACCAGTGGGCCTTGAGCATTTTCTCTGTATGCAGAGCTTAACAGAATTTTTCTTCTGTTTTTGAAGTACTTGGACATATTCGGGGATATTATTGAAAGATTTCTCAGGGATCCTTTTTATTTACACAGTTGACATCGTCCTTTTCTTGATTAGAAACAAAACTTTTTAAAAGTCTGGTTGAGCAAACTTTTCTCTTTGTTTTTTGGTGTTTTTTGTTTTTTGTTTTGTTTTTTTTTTGAGAAAGTGTCTCACTGTGTAGTTGAGACTGACCTAGACCTCACTATGTAGCCCAGTCTGGGACTCGCAGCGATCCTCCTGCCTCAGCCTCCCGAGTGCTGGGATTACAGGCATGCGCCGCCATGCCCAGCAGATCAAACTTTTCTTACAGATAACATCAGACAGGGTTTTCCCGCAGAAGGGAGCGGATGGATGTGTACATGACAGGACTGTGCCACCTGTCGGCCTCAGGCCACACAGATGATGGCCGCGGTGGTGGTGGTGATGGTGATGGCCCGTGCACTTGTGAAACTGTGGGAAGCATGTTGTTACTCCCTGGTGACTTCGTAGCTGCTGACGTGGATATAAACAAGCCTCTCCCTGTGCCAGCCAGAGCTGTGCACGGCACCTAACCCTTGACAGTGGTGACTGACGACTGGTCCTGGCTCGTGCGCTCCCCTCCTGTGCCTGCCTCGGTCTTCAGCGTGTGCTCCTCCCCGCTGCCAGCAGCAGCCCCCGGGCTCTCCGCTGCTTCTGCTAGTGTCTTTCTCTTGTACGCGAGTCTGTCTCCTGTGTTGTTCATCATGACCCCTAGTTATATAAAATCTACCACGCATGTTGCTAGCAAGGGGGCACAGCAAGTGGTTGACTGGAAATGCAATCCAGACGAGTGCGGTTTGCAGACTGGAGGCCCCGGCTCCCGCTGGCCGGCCCAGTCCCAATGCACCTCAGCACAGTCCTGGGGCCGGGAGCTGTCAGCACGAGAGCGTCTGCCTCACTAGAGAGTCGTTAGTGCTTTCAGAGTAGTTTCAGCAGCTTGTCCTCCTGTCCCGCATGTCATCATGTGAGGCCTCAGGGGTCTCCTCTTGCTGTGTCCTTGAAATCCACGTGCGCATGTAAGTGTGCACACACACGCACGTGCGCGCGTTTGAACTTCATGTGTTTGTTAATTTTGGGGTCCTCAAGCGTTCAGCTTTGGAAGCAGCTGAAAGAAAATCTCTTCACCTTCTTGGCTGCCGCGCGCTCAGAGCTTCCCTTGGGTCGTTGATGGAAACATTTCCAGGAGCGCTCCCCTTTCCATTTGGCTCTACAGTGGTTTATCGAAAAGAGCAAGCTGTGATAAAGGCAGATGAGAATAGGCTTTTTCAGGTTCAGGGCTGTTGTGTGCCAGCCTTGTTCTGTAATCACACAAAAGCTTTGCGGACTTGCTTCCTGCATGTGATGGACTCTCTCGTAACAGCCATTCTGCCTCTGTTCTTACTTCCAGGTCTCACCAGCTGCACCGGGTAAAGAGAGCAGTGGAGAAGGTATGGTGGTCTTGGTTCTGGAAGAGCAAGATACGTAAATACATTCATTCACAGTAGTGGAAACCAAAATGTTATGTAAACTATTCTTAAAGTCACTAAAAGTTTCAGAGGAAATATCATATCACCTACTCTCAAAACACAAAGTATCACACATTTACTTCTTCTGGCTAGATGATGGCATTTTTTTGCTGACATAAAGACTAGCTCATTCTGGCAAATTTTAAGACTCGTGATATCTTGAATCTGAAAGATTTCCTTTATTTCTCATCACTTTAATGAATCACTCATTTTAACTGATGATCTTATAGGCAAAATTTATAGTAAGATTGAAAATAAAGGCCTTACTTTTAATGCCATTATTTGAAACTTTTGAGAAACAAGTAAAAACTGTTCAGTGTACGACTTTCAGAATGCAAAAGCATAGTCACACATCGTTCTTCTTTGAGAACATTGCAAGGTTTCGGCCTTGTAATATAAAATGTTAGAAGACTGTTCAGGTCACAGATCTGGAGGAAAAATGAGAACTCTTCCCTGGGGTCCAGTTGCAAGATGCTGAGGAGGGCGTGGATCTCTGGGCCGGAGTCCACGCTCACGGCCGCACCGCTAGTGTTCTGAGGGCGACCTTCCCACTGCCGCCAGGGACCTAACTTCGGTGTTGTTCGTTAGAGACTGAAGTGGCCACAGAGGCATCGGGAACAAAAGGACAAGGCTCTAGAAAGGGTCGTATAGTTTCGTATGTAAAGCTTGAGACAACGCGACAACTAAGGATAAGAATTTAGTGGGAGAAAAGGAAAGATGATGTGCTAAGGTTACGAGTCTTTTATGCGCATAAAGACTCCGACTCCCTTAAAGTCCTGTTCTTCCCACCCGCCTTCCTTGTCCGCTGCACCTTCTCCCTGACCTCCTTCTCCCGTTTCCAACACAGAGCACGTGTGGCACTTCCTGGGCAAATGACGGGACGCTGGCAGCTCGACATCCAGATCCCGCCCTCCGAGACCCCTCTGCTCTTCGGTGCGGGGCGGTGGGCGTTTGCTGACTTGTACTCAGACACTGTTCTCAAGCTTTTGCGTTTCTCAGTTTGTAAATAAACATGGCATTTTTGAATTTGTCTCCGGTGATTTTATTGATATGAAGGAAATATTTAATTTCACAGAAGAATTTTAGAAGCTTTGCATTTTGGACCAGTTAATTTTCATACCTGAAGGTTCCCAGCTGTTTTATCAGCTAGTATAGCCATAGGTTAAAATCACAAGTTTGAGAAATTAGGAAAAATTTGAGATATTCTCATTTTTAGACCATCATAGCTCGAGTCTGTTGCTGGTAAAGGCTTTACGTCGCCCACCTCTGCCCTGTCTGAAGTGCCTAGGTAGGTAAGTATGTTACATTCAGTAAGGCTCCTTCCTGCCCTTATTCTTTTGGATTTCCTGATCTCAGAAAGTCCCGTTCCACCCCTGCATTTCAGTTCTCATCTCGGAGGAGCCGGGTCTCTCCGGACTCTGCCCTTCAGAATCTCTCCAGGAGCTTTGACCCTCACGTCCGGTGCTCGGCTCATCTCGCCTGCTGCTTGAGCGCCCCCTTTCCCACCTCCGCTCCCGCCTCGCCCCTCAGCCGTGGCCATCCTGGGTGCGCTGTGCTTCCTCCGTCGTCCTGCGCACGTCTCAGCTTCTCCTCATCAAACCAGCTCTCGCCTTGTCCCGCCTTTCTCCGCGCCTCCCATGGCCCCCGGAGTGAGAAGCAGACCCAGCGTGCCACACTGCGTGCACCTCCCCTGGCCGCTCTCCCTTTGCTTGCTGTCCCCAGCGTGCCCATTTCATCTACTGGCGTCTGGCGACGCGCGAGGCTTCCCACGGCTGAGGTGTTCGGGGCCTGGGCCCTGTCGGGCAGACGCTGAGAAGTTGGGGAACTTCGAGGGCCGCTCGCAGCCACAGCCGGAACTCCTGACCACCTGGCTGTCAGCCTGCGGCTTTCCAAGCTGCTGGTTTCTCCCTCGCAGCAGAGGCAAAGCTTTTCCCACCGCCCGGAGGGTCCAGGGACAGGGGCGTTGTGAGCAGCCTGGGAGTAGAGAGCGATGCCCTCCTGCGGGGGCGGTGGCGTCAGTGGGGACGAGAGAGTACTTAAATCTTATTAATACATTGACTTAATATTGTGAAAATAAAACTAACAGAACGAATGGAGAAGACCAAAGAAGTGTGGTTATCAAGGCAAAGATCAGTGGACTTGGCTTTTGGCTTATTCTCTCTTCTTTGTTTTGTTTTGTTGGGTTTTTGTTTGTTTTTTGGTTTTCGAGCCAGGGTCTTGCTCTATAGTACAGGCTGTCCTTGAGCTCACTGTGTGGCCCAAGCTGGCCTCGAACTTGCGGCAGTCCTCCTGCCTCGGCCTCCTGAGTGCTGGGATCACAGGCGTGCCCTGACGCCCGGTTTTATTCATCTCTTGAGAGGTGGAAGAGAGAGGCTGCGTGTGTACTTCCCACTTCATAGCTTCTGCCCTCTGCCTAGGGGTACTGGGTCCTGGTAGTGCTCGGTGCTGCCTCGTCAGTGAGCCTTCCTGGGAGGAGAGCCAGGCCGGTGATCACAGCCGCACAACGTCTCAGTGCATGATTTCTCATTTGATGCGTGTGTAGTGTGAATTTTAATTTTTCTTTTAAATATGACCACAAGGCTGGATTATGATTACGATTACTCACGATGATGATTCTCTTGCGGGGCTGGGCACGGAGCCCTGGCTCTCATCGTTACCGTGGTGACCAGCGTGACCTCACAGTTGGCCGAGGGGACTCCGTGCCTGTTTCACAGCGGCTTCCAGAGCGGGCATCGCCAGCCCAGCCCCATGGAACGACTACACGGAATAGGCTTTGTAGTAACACTTCTAACGGAAGGCCGCTGAGAGAGAAATCATTACCAAAGCTGCCTAGAACAGATAAAACCCGAATCTGACCCGAGGAAGTATCTTTAGGCACTGCCCTCAGCCAGCTTTCCTGAATGTCAGCTAATCACTACCCAAGGTTGATGTTCCTCACCTTTGCGATAATTGCAAATGTCTGGAAATTTGGGGCAGCTTTTTTTTCTCACAGCTCATACAGGAAATGCTTAGCGTTGCTCTGTCGTGCAGAACCTGCTGAATTTCATCAGGCCCGATCCTCCTTGATGACTGCGTGCACTTTCAGCACTTCGTGAGCTCATGAAGAACACCTGTTCTATTCATTGCGTCGGCCGCCGAGGCCGCTGCTCACTCACCTGCTGTGACTCCCTTGTTAACAGCGAAGAGGACCGGGTCACTTTGGCCTGTGCCGTTGTCCTGCGTCTGCGCTCTGAACAGTGTTGTCAGTGTTTGCGGTGGGGTCTCTGATCCTCAGTCCGCAGCTGCGTCGGGGATGATCCTCGGCACTGTGAGCCTGGATGTCTAAGTCACGGGTTCTGAAACAGGGCCGCAAACATGGCTTCCCTTTCCCCTGTGGGTCTTAAGCCCTTTATCGTATATAAACGATGGATAGCTCATGCAGAGAATTTTCCCGGTGAAGGCTCTTCTCTGATCGTCCTCGTCGAAGAAGAGGAGAAAGGTAAGCAGCTGTCTGCCGGGGTAGCCGACCCCGTACACAGCATATGTATCATCGTTCCTCCTGTAAGTTATACGAAGCTTAGTGTCGAATGTTGTTAGTGTCAACCACCAATACTACTAAACTTGGCGGGGACGTAGAAATATAGCTATTACAGATTATAGGAATACGGATATTTCTAAGTCAGCAAACTCCATAGGTGACCCAGCGGTGCAGCCTACACTAATTGGACACCTGTCCCAGCCCACACCTGGCTCACGCTGTCCCCCTGAAACCTGTCAAAAAAGAAGCCTTTGCCTTGAGTGTGACGATGGACCTGCTCTGCCAGGCGGGGGAGAGGACCAGAAGCCGCCGCTGCCCTGAACCGACCCGCCCGCTGACATGAGTGAGGCCAAGCTGCACCCTCAGATTCCGCCTGGGAAATGGGAACCAGGCCCAGGGCAGGAGGACAGGAAGCACAGATGTTCTTTCCTTCTGTCCAAAAGTATTTACCAAGTTGTCCCCGATGCCTGCTCCTACCCCATAGCTGTCAGCTGGCCTGAAATCCAGGAACCCGGAAGGTCCCTGGTTCACCAAGAGGAAAGATTCTGGCGTCCTCTGCCCTGCACAGTGCCCGACCCAGGGATCCACCTGCAGGCGCCTGGCTGCAAAGGGCTGAGTCTGTCCCGGGCCACCCTGAAAACCACACTGTGCCTTTAGCTGCGCTGTCTCGGCTGCCTTGCTGGCCTGAATCCATTCAAAGCTTTTCCCTTTCATGCCCACTTTGACTTTGGGGAGGAGCCAGGAGTCACATGGTGCTGGATCCGGTGAAAAACTGGATTAGGACACAGGGCCAGGCTTTTACCAGCTGCTTTTGGATGGGATGGCATGGGCAGCTGTATTCACCACATATTTGATCACACCTGGACACGACATTCAGGAAAGAGGACTCCAGAGCTGCTACAGAAAGTGGCAAGAGCCAAGGGATGTGTGTTCAAAGTGCGGGAGGATTTTAGGGAGATTCATAGCAATGTGACTTTTACTGTAGTATTTTTTTAATTTGAGCAGTCCCCGTGTATTTGGGTCCCACCTCGTAATAAGTCACGTGCTACAGAGAAAGGCAGAAGAGGATGCAGGGGCACTGAGAAGCCAGGCTGGGCTCAGGACTGGGCGGGAGCAGAAGTCTGAGTCTGAACCTGGCAGGGCAGGGATGACAGCCCTGCAATGCTAGGGGAAGCAGACACCAGCGGGTGTCCAGAGGGGCACCAAGGAGCAAGCCGAGCGGCTGGCTTTTCGCAGGGACACGGAGCCTTTGTGGCTGGCGGACAGGCAGCAGAGGTGAGTGGCACGGCAAAGGTGGACCTGACCACCTCCCGGGGTGAGGGTGAGGGGAACCGGAAGATTCAGCAGGTTTCTGCAGGTATCCAGTGAACTCAGCAAGACGTTCCTTTGGGGTCATTTTCTCAGTGTGATCTCCTAAAGTGGAGTCCTCAAAAAACCCATTTTATAATCAGATTTTCATAAGGGATATTCCAGGTTTTGCTGCCAGAGAGCAAGTGTCTTCCTTCCTCTCCTTCCTGGTTTGTTTTGCTGTTAGTTGTAGCACACTCAGCCTTTTCTCTGCGCATGCACCCACGGCGGCATCTTGTATAAATGTTCTGAGTGTTTTCATTGCCTCCCCCCGCCCCGATCTTAAAATTTTCTCAATTTCTATGACATGCTTGGCTTTAGGTTTTGAATGCTAAGGCTAAGAAAGAGATTGGCCCTCCTTCAAATCAGAACTCTGAACCGGGGCCCTGAGTACCAACGCCGGGCTCAGCAGGAAGCCGCAGGCCACTGCACAAACTCTCCTTGTCTGCCTCCAGCCACTGTAGGACCTGTCCCCACTGTGCGGCACCTTCCAGCTCTCTGATAAGTGTTTAAGAGGGGAAGAGGATAAAAATGTCTAAGTTTTTAATACTACTCTGATTAAACATGGACACAGTCTTACGACCAGTGAAATTTCAAAAGAAATCATGAGCCAAAAGAACAAGATGCATCATGTAAAGGTACAAGGTCCCAGGGATGAATGTAACTGTATTCTATACCTAAATTGTACCGATAAACTCAATGGTAAGAAAATCATGAGCCAAGTGTTGTGTTGCACACCAGTGTTGCCAGTTTGTGGGGGGCTGAGGCAGGAGGGTCGAGAGTTCAAGGCCAGCCTGGGCTACCAGGCAAGACTATCTTCCAAAAAATAAAAAGGAAGGGAAGCGGGGAAAGAAAAGAAAGGGGCGTGTTAGGGAGGAGCAGGGAAAGGAGAGCAGAGGAGGAGAAGGGAGTGGAAGGTAGAAGAAACTAGTCTGTTCTCCTCCAGGAGAGGCCGATGGTGTTTTGTGTATTCCTCCCTGCAGTGCAGGCCGTCCTGGCTTACCAGAGAGTTCTTTGTTCCGTGTCTGCTTCGGAATCTCAGGTGCACAGACAGCAAAGATGACATCGTGATAGACTGCACTGTTGCTCACTCGAGGGAATCACGGCGTTCAGAGGCGGGGGCAGCCGGGATGACCCGGCCTTCGGTA